AAAAAAAAAAAAAAAAGTATAATCAAACACAACTGGGAAGACATCATGTGGTGAGAAATCCCTTACTCGGATTTGTCAGAACATTCACTACAATTAAATCCCTGCTTTCCCCTCTCTCCTCTTCTCATTTTCTGTAAAGATAAGAACCCTTCCCATAACCGTTTGGTTAAAATGTGTTTTCATTTCAGGCTCTGTTGACATTCAGGAATGTGGCCATAGAGTTCTCTCAGGAGGAGTGGAAATGCCTGGACCCTGCTCAGAGGGCTTTATACAGAGACGTGATGCTGGAGAATTATAGGAACCTGGTCTTTCTGGGTGAGGATAACTTCCCTCCTGGGGATGTGCCCCTATGTATCTTTGCCTTTTCTCTTTTTGCTTCTTGGGAGCCTCATCCTTGCTTGACTAAAGTGGAAGCCATATTGATTTTGACATGAAAAGCTTCATGATGTAGCGTCTGGACTTTCACTGTCCCCTTTGTTTAGACGTTCTGCATTCTTCATGATACCTCAGTGGGGCTTCCAGAAGTAAAGTAGGCATAAAACCTTATGGCAGGTCAGGCATGGAGACCCACGCCTGTCATCACTCCCACTTCAGGAGGCCAAGGCTTCTGGACTACTTCAGGTCAGGAGTTCAAGAGAAGCCTGGTCAACATGGTGAAACCCCATCTGTATTAAAAATACAAACGTTAGGCCGGTGTGGTAGCACACATTTGTAATACTAGCTACTAGAATGGCTAAGGAAGGTGAATCGCTTGAACCTAGAATCAGATGGTTGCAGTGAGCCAAGACTGTGCCTCTGCACTCCAGCCCAGGGAACAGAGCACGACTGTCTCAAAAAAAAAAGAAAAACAAAACCTTATGGCAGACTTTAAAGATATCCAGTTCTGGTTGGGTATGGTGGCTCACACCTATAATCGCAGCATTTAGGAAGGCCAAGACAAGGGAATCACCTGAGGTCGGGAGTTCGAGACCAGCCTAACATGGAGAAACCTCCTCTCTACTAAAAATACAAAATTAGCCAGGGGTGGCGCATGCCTGTAATCCCAGTCACTCAGGAGGCTGAGGCAGGAGAATCTCTTGAACTGGGGAGGTGGAGGTTAGATCACGCCATCGCACTCTGGCCTGGGCAACAAAGTGAAACTCCGTCTCAAAGCAAACAAACAAACAAACAAAAAAACCCAGTTTCCTCTTTGCTTCTCCTGTGCTTTTGATTCAGTAGTTCTTGGAAGAGACCTTGATGTCCACATATTACATATTACAATGCTCTGTACACCTTAAGAAGTAGGCAGTGAGTGAAGGAATTTGTGAAATACTTTTCTAGATTTTTCTGTAATGTCTTCTTTCCTACTGAAACGTAGGGCTGGGACTCTAGAAAAGCTCCAGCATATCATGTTCCTTTCTTTTTATAAGCAGGAGTCTCTTTCTGCCCTGTTGTCACCATGTAGGGGCAAGGGAAAGAGCCCTGGACTGTGGAGAGTGAAGTGAAAATAGCAACAAAATCCAGCTGGGAGGGAATGTATTACAGGTGTAAAGGCAGGTAAGAGCTCAGATGGGCAGAGTGGAAGCTCCACCTTCCAATAGTGTGTGGGGAAACTCTCTGCAAGTGGGAGAATTCTGTGGGAAAAGGAAAGTTTAAATCCTGAGATCTCAGAATGGACATCTTTCTTTGCTCCCACTTATTTTTCTGCTATTTATTTATTTATTTGACAGAGTCTCGCCATTTTGCCCAGGCTGGAGTACAGTGGCACAATAGTTCACTGCAACCTCTGCCACCTGAGTTCAAGTGGTTCTTCTGCCTCAGCCTCCCAAGTAGCTGGGACTACAGGCATGCATCGCCACCACAGCTCGCTAATTTTTATTTTTTTAGGGGTTTTGCCATTTTGGCAAGTTTGGTCTCAAACTCCTAACCTCAGGTAATTTGCCTGTCTGGGCTTCCCAAATGCTGAGATTACAGGTGTGAGCCACCGCGCCCGGCCCCTCTGCTCTTTAGATGTGTAGTACTTTGATCTTTCTGCCCTCTAGTGGTGCCACAACTCAGAGAAAAAGGCAGAGCCTTTACTTTATCCTGATGGGCAATAACACCCTGTCACCTGGCTTCTGTGACCTCTTTGGTTTCTTGACCCTGTGGCACAGGGAGGGCTGTGTCAAAGGAGTCTCTTTCCCCTGTGGTCTCTCCTTCTGTACCTGATTCCATCTGATGCTCCACTTTCTGTCCCTATAGATCAGAACTGAGGCCTCCATACACCTACCCCTTGACCTCTTCAGGTTCCATCCCATTTCCTGTACTTGGAACACCTAATCAGGAGATGAGAAAACATGGGCTGTGCCTCCTTTGCCTCTGGGACCCAGGATACTGCACAGATCCCTCTGTGCTTCTTCAGATAGTCTGCTTGTCTATTTGAAATATGAAAAAGGCCATGCGCTGTGGCTCATGCCTATAATTCAAACACTTTGAGAGGCTGAGGAGGGTGGATCACTTGAGGTCGGGAGTTTGAGACCAGCCTGGCTAACATGGTGAAACCCCGTCTCTACTAAAAATACCAAAAGTAGCCGGGTGTGGTGGCAGGTGTGTGTATTCCCAGCTACTTGAAAGACTGAGGCAGGAGAATATCTTGAACGTAGGAGGCAGAGGTTGCAGTGAGCTGAGATTGCACCCCTGCACTCCAGCTTGGGTGACAGAGCGAGACTCCGTCCTCCCACCAAAAAAAAAAATATGAAAAAACAAATGTGCTTTTCCTACTCTCACATGCTGCTGAGCACAGAATGCCTCACTTCTGATCACCAAAATGTGTGTATTTCCCCTCAACGACATACAGATTTGGATGGACACAAACTGAATGTCTTGTAGTTGAATTCAGTTCTGACACCGTCTGCCTGGAGTTAGAGTGAGAACTCACAGGTCAAGGGTTGAACTCCAGGCCTTCAAGGCTGCCCCCGACCTCAGACACCAGTTCCAAGTAGTAGATGGTCACATGTTCTTCTGACCAACCAGCTGTAAGTTGAGTTTCGTCAACCCCTTTCTTGGGTTTGATTACTTTGCTAGGGTGGCTCACAAAACTCAGTGAAACACTTTCTTGAGTTCATGATGAAGGACGTTTCACAGGACACAGATGGACAGCCAGATGAGATTCACGCGGTGGGGCAGTAAAATGTAAATCCATAGTCACTCTCTGATATAACAGTTCCACACATGATTGATATAAAACAGAATACAAAGACTATCACACAAAGTAGGAAAATGATTATTAAATAAATAAAATCCAACATCATGTATAATATGTAGAAATGAATAACAGTGTACTTAACACTAGAGGCATCTTTCCAGGGAGCTGTGCTCCGCACAAGGAGTGAGGGAAGATTCACTGGGTGTGCCGTGCCCCAGGCCCTGTGTGTGTTCAGCATTTGGAAGCTCTCATCCCCCATAGTTTAGGGATTTGCGTGGAGGCTTCATCACAAAGTCATGATTGATGGTAACTCAGTCTCCAGCCCCTCTCCCCTTCCTGGAGGATGGTGGATGGCAGTGACTGTCCGTGCCCCTAGGCCTAGCCTGTTCTTGCTGGTGATCAGCTCCATCCAGGAGACCATAGAGGTTGCCTCATTAGGACAAATCATGCTCCCGCACCCAGGACGTCCCAAGGTCTTTGGAGCTCTGTGTCAGGAACTGGGCAAAAGACCAATATATGCATTTCTTCTTATTCCACAAGGCCCCTCAGCCATTCTTCAGTTGTGCTTCATCCACACTTTACTGGTGGGTGTCACAGGGGAGTAGGTGACTGTTCTGAGATGGTTACTCAGCTGAGTGGGAAAGACAGTTGACAGAAAGACCCTGTATTGGGGCCGAAGGTCCTTGTGGGGAGCATAGGTCACTGGAATGATGCCTCTGGTACGAAGTTCACTGTTATTTGGTTAAGCCACTACTTTCATCTTGGACATTTCTATATATTACACATGATCTTGGATTTTATTCATTTAATCATCAGTTTCGTGTGTGTGTGTGTGTGTGTGTGTGTGTATGATGAAGTCTTGTTCTGTCTGTCACCCAGGCTGGAGTAGAGTGGCACAATCTTGGCTCACTGCAGCCTCTACCTGCTGGGTTCAAGTGATTCTCCTGCCTCAGCCTCCCATATAACTGGGACTACAGGCACCCACCACCACGCCCAACTAATTTTTGTATTTTTAGTAGCTATGAGGTTTCACTATGTTGGCCAGGCTGGTCTCAAACTCCTGACCCCAGGTGATCCTCATGCCTCAGCCTCCCAAAGTGATAGAATTCCAGGCATGAGCCATGCACCCGGCCTCCCTCTACTTTTTTATTGTTCAGTGCTCTTGTAGTTTTACCCATTATTGAAAGTGGAATGTTGAAATCTCCTAGCATTACAATGGAGCCATTTTTTTTTTTTAGTTCTGTAAACATTGGCTTTATATATGGAGCTCTCATATTCATGCATATATATCTCTAGTTATTGCATATTCTTGGTGAATTGACCCTATTATCATGATGTAATATCTTTCCTTGTCTCCAGGAAAACATTTTCAAGTTAAAATATGTTTTAGGTCTGGGTGCGGTGGCTCACGCCTGTAATCCCAGCACTTTGGGAGTCCAAGGTGGGCAAATCATGAGGTCAGGAGTTCTAGACCAGCCTGACCAACATGGTAGAACACTGTCTCTACTAAAAATACCAAAAATAGCCAAGCATGCTAGTGTGCACTAATTCCAGCTACTTGGGAGGTGGAGGGAGAAGAATTGCTTGAACCCAGCAGGCAGAGGTTGCAGTGAGCCGAGATCACACCACTGCACTCCACCCTGGGTGACAGAGCAAGACCCCATCTCTAAAAAAAAAAAAAAAAAAAAAAAATTTCTATAACCACCTCTGCTCTCTTGCGATGACATTTGCTTGGAATATTATTTTTATTTTTTGTGTTATTTTCTATTTAAAAATTTTTTTAGATAGAGCGTCTCACTCTATCCCCCAGGGTGGAGTGCAATGGTGGGATTAGGGCTCACTGCAGCCTTGGATTCCTGGGCTTAGGCGATTGGCCCATCTCAGCCTCCCTCGGCAGCTGGTACAGGTGCATGCCACCATGAGGGGCTAATTTATCACTTTTATTTTTCTTAGAGACAGTGTCTTACTGTGTTGTTGAAGTTGGTCTTGATCTCCTGGGCTCAAGAGACCCTCCTCAGCCTCCTGAGTAGCTGGGGTTACAGGCACCAACCTCCATAACTAATTATTGGTTTTTATTTTTTAAATTTTAGTGTATGTGTGTCCATAGGGCTAATATGAGTCTTCTATGAACAACATGTAGTTGGTTCCTGTT